GTGTCAGCGATATTTACGAATCGGCGATTTTGCCGACTTTGACTCCCATTTTAGGCCAATTACATTATTCCAATCAACCAAATTCTTAGCTATTTCACTAGTATTACTTCTATTCTATCGATTGTGCACAAGAAATCGCCAAGTCAACTGTTTCAACTACAAAATAAAGTGATCGGAAATTGTTAATTTGGCCAATTTAACACAAAGTTCAAAATATTCTAATTTCAAAATAGGGTTCAGAATGAACAATGTAGGCATTCCTGGCACTAAACTAACATTTCCTCTGTTCATTAGTTATGTTTTGAGGCTTTACAAATAAATTCCGTTTTGATTTTTTATTCACATAATGAATTTTTATTCACACCAAAAAATAGAAGACTTACTGTTATGCAATACTGTAATAATTGTATAAATATCATCACCATATTTGTGAATGTATATTAGACCCACCAGCTGGCATGTATTAGATGTGTGAGGTCGTTTGTTTACTCTTGAATATCGGCAAAAATTTAACATTTCTGCTACTTTGAGCTCAGTTTCAAGCCATTTCCAGTGCTAAAACCAATCAAAATCATCTCTATTTCTGTAATATGTCTTCCATTCTATCAAATGAGACCAAGAAATCGCAAATACAACTATAAAAAACATACGAAAAAACACGGCAAAGTTGCTGTTTTAATCGAAAAATCATGATTTCATTTTTTTTCTCACATTATACACAGTGTGCTGCAGGATCTGTTTTATGTGGAGCACACATACCACATAGATGTGTTCTCTCATATCTAGGCCTAAATGTACCACTCACAGTTTATCAGAGTGAGCTGAGCTCATGGCGTAGATCTACGGTTTGGACCCTGAACGTAAAGCCGTAGATCTACGGGACGGACCCTGAAAGGGTTAATTATATTATTAGGTAGGATGTAACATTTATATATTATTCTGTGCTCATACTTCGAGTGTTAAGTAGCTGACAGCACTGTCTAACTATCGCTCCGCTCGTTGCTCGTTACGCTGCTGGCTTCTGTGTTGCTGGGCAGCAGCAGTCCACAGAGTAGTCACATGATCAAGGGGGGTGATCACACCTCACCTGGAGTGAGTGGAGCTTTCAGGCGCTAGCTACTGTCGGTTGGACGTTGCTATTAACAAGAGGTCCCACACCTCCTCTCCCTTGTGGGCCCTTGTAGGAAGATAGTCTCTGTTGCTTTCTTGTTGTTGGTTCTGTGCAACTCTGTTCACAGAACATAGCCTAGACTTAGTGATTTTCGACATTGTACCGAGGTTGTGTGTCGCATAGACACTCTGAGAAACTCAGGTCCTGAGCTGTAGCTTCTGACCTAATTTGAGGAACTTTTAAATGTCGGCGAAGAAAGGGAGGCGGTAATTTCATGCACTGGTCAGGGAGGTATACCATCTTTTAGGAGTGAAGAAGAGCAGAATGTAAGTGTGGTGGAGGTACGTGAGGCATTACGTAGAATGAAAGGGGGTAAAGCAGCTGGAAATGACGGGATCATGACAGAAATGTTAAAGGCAGGGGGGATATAGTGTTGGAGTGGTTGGTACTTTTGTTTAATAAATGTATGAAAGAGGGGAAGGTACCTAGGGATTGGCAGAGAGCATGTATAGTCCCTTTATATAAAGGGAAAGGGGACAAAAGAGATTGTAAAAATTATAGAGGAATAAGTTTACTGAGTATACCAGGAAAAGTGTACGGTAGGGTTATAATTGAAAGAATTAGAGGCAAGACAGAATGTAGGATTGCGGATGAGCAAGGAGGTTTCAGAGTGGGTAGGGGATGTGTAGATCAAGTGTTTACATTGAAGCATATATGTGAAACAGTATTTAGATAAAGGTAGGGAAGTTTTTATTGCATTTATGGATTTAGAAAAGGCATATGATAGAGTGGATAGAGGAGCAATGTGGCAGATGTTGCAAGTATAGGAATAGGTGGTAAGTTACTAAATGCTGTAAAGAGTTTTTATGAGGATAGTGAGGCTCAGGTTAGGGTGTGTAGAAGAGAGGGAGACAACTTCCCGGTAAAAGTAGGTCTTAGACAGGGATGTGTAATGTCACCATGGTTGTTAAATATATTTATAGATGGGGTTGTAAAGGAAGTAAATGCTAGGGTGTTCGGGAGAGGGGTGGGATTAAATTATGGGGAATCAAATTCAAAATGGGAATTGACACATTTACTTTTTGCTGATGATACTGTGCTTATGGGAGATTCTAAAGAAAAATTGCAAAGGTTAGTGGATGAGTTTGGGAATGTGTGTAAAGGCAGAAAGTTGAAAGCTAACATAGAAAAGAGTAAGGTGATGAGGGTATCAAATGATTTAGATAAAGAAAAATTGGATATCAACTTGGGGAGGAGGAGTATGGAAGTGAATGTTTTCAGATACTTGGGAGTTGACGTGTCGGCGGATGGATTTATGAAGGATGAGGTAAATAATAGAACTGATGAGGGAAAAAAGGCGAGTGGTGCGTTGAGGTATATGTGGAGTCAAAAAACGTTATCTATTGAGGCAAAGAAGGGAATGTATGAAAGTACGTATAGTAGTACCAACACTCTTATATGGGTGTGAAGCTTGGGTGGTAAATGCAGCAGTGAGGAGACAGTTGGAGGCAGTGGAGATGTCCTGTCTAAGGGCAATGTGTGGTGTAAATATTATGCAGAAAATTCGGAGTGTGGAAATTAGGAAAAGGTGTGGAGTTAATAAAAGTATTAGTCAGAGGGCAGAAGAGGGTTGTTGAGGTGGTTTGGTCATTTGGAGAGAATGGATCAAAGTAGAATGACATGGAAAGCATATAAATCTATAGGGGAAGGAAGGCGAGGTAGGGGTCGTCCTCGAAAGGGTTGGAGAGAGGGGGTAAAGGAGGTTTTGTGGGCGAGGGGCTTGGACTTCCAGCAAGCGTGCATGAGCATGTTAGATAGAAGTGAATGGAGACGAATGGTACTTGGGACCTGACGATCTGTTGGAGTGTGAGCAGGGTAATATTTAGTGAAGGGATTCAGGGAAACCGGTTATTTTCATATAGTTGGACTTGTGTCCTGGAAATGGGAAGTACAATGCCTGCACTTTAAAGGAGGGGTTTGGGATATTGGCAGTTTGGGGGGATATGTTGTGTATCTTTATATGTATATGCTTCTAAACTGTTGTATTCTGGGCACCTCTGCAAAAACAGTGATAATGTTTGAGTATGGTGAAAGTGTTGAGTGATGATGAAAGCATTTTCTTTTTGGGGATTTTCTTTCTTTTTTGGGTCACCCTGCCTCGGTGGGAGACGGCCGACTTGTTGAAAAAAAAAAAAATCTGTGTACTGTCACAGTCGGGAATTTTTCTAATGCTGAACTTAGATTCAGTAGTATGGGAGTTTTGTGACTTTTGTGGAGGATCTGCAGATGGTCCCTACTTAGTGTCGTTATATTATCTCCTTGTTCCTGATTCTGTGTCGTTGTTGCTTGTTACATTGCTGCTCGGCTTAACAGTCGCTTTATTGTTCAAACAAGCTGTTCTGATTGCCAGGTTGGTCAAAAAGTTAGTTTAAGTGAGGACTTTTAGTCAGTCACTGGTTAAGTCTAGTCGAGTCTTGAGACATAGAGAACTACTTAGAGCACTTACACACACATACACACAAACTTACTTGTATATATATATATGTATTATGTTATTAAATGCTAACAATGTACCAGACAGTACTTAAAAGCCATAAAGTTGTGTTATGTGCCTTCAGCACAATACTACTGTACACGAGAGAAGTGTAAGAACTTGTATCCTATATTATATTCAATTGATTACTATAGTTTGCTTTGATAATATACGCCTAGACAACTTAATCGTTAATAAACTTATTAAATTTTAATTTCTTTCGTTAGTAGCCTACCAGTTGCAATCCTGAAGCACTATTGAATCTTACTAAATTCTGATGGATAATTGGACCAGGATACTGACTAGTACTTGTTACAAAAACCCAGTAACAGGCTAGATGCTAGAGGGGCAGTGATTTCTAGTATTCACTGGAGATCTCTATCATTATTAAAAATCGCTTTATTTGTAACAAGCATTTAGTAACTTACCACCTATTCCATATACTTGCAACATCTGCCACATTGCTCCCCTATCCACTATCATATGCCTTTTCTAAATCCATAAATGCAATACAAACTTCCCTACCTTTATCTAAATACTGCTCACATATATGCTTCAATGTAAACACTTGATCTACACATCCCCTACCCATTCTAAAACCTCCTTGCTCATCCGCAATTCTGCATTCTGTCTTGCCTCTAATTCTTTCAACAATAACCCTACCATGCACTTTTCCTGGTATACTCAGTAAACTTATTCCTCTATAATTTTTACAATCTCTTTTGTCCCCCTTCCCTTTATATAAAGGGACTATACATGCTCTCTGCCAATCCCTAGGTACCTTCCCCTCTTTCACACACTTTTTTTTTTCAACAAGTCGGCCGTCTCCCACCGAGGCAGGGTGACCCAAAGAGAAGGAAAATCCCCCAAAAAGAAAATACTTTCATCATCATTCAACACTTTCACCTCACTCACACAATCACTGTTTTTGCAGAGGTGCCCAGAATACAACAGCTTAGAAGTATATATGTATAAAATACACAATATATCTCTCCAAACTGCCAATACAATTTATTAAACAAAAATACCACCCACTCCAACACTATGTCCCCCCCTGCTTTTAACATTTCTGTCACGATCCCGTCAGTTCCAGCTGCTTTATCCTCTTTCATTCTCTGTAATGCCTCACGCACCTCCCCCACGCTCACATCCTGCTCTTCTTCACCCCTAAAAGATGATATACCTCCCTGGCCAGTGCATGAAATTACCGCCTCCCTTTCTTCGTCGACATTTAAAAGTTCCTCAAAATATTCTCGCCATCTACCCAAAACCTCCATCTCCCCATCTACTAACTCCCCTACTCTGTACCTGTACATTTACATTTAATTTATAAAAAAACTGTAATCCCATACTCACCTTGTGAAGATGAAGGCAGACAGGTGGTTCATCCCACGCACCATTTTTACAATGAAGTTCTATGGGACCGAGAAGAGTAAACCCTTTGTCACACATGTAAAGGGCAACCGTGCCAGATTGAAGGCGCTTAAACTCCACACTTCCATTTTCAAGGGATGGTGGAAGAAGACAGAGGTCCGTCTGGGTTGTTATAGACAATGTCCCCTTTTTGGTGAGCTTTGTAACACTGTGGTACACTATAAAAACTGTATCAGCATCTGTCACCATTCTGAAATCATTATTATAAGTTGGGCACCATTCAACATCCCACTTTGGGTTCATGAGAGACTCCTCAAAAATAGTAATATGAGGCTTGATATTTTGAGAGAATCTCAAACTCACATGTTTATGTTGCTCAGTATTAAGCTGCCAAACACATGCTTCAGATTGGGTATAAGGTTGGAATTTATGTTCAATTTTTTCATTTGTCTCATCCGAGGAGATGATTCCATCTGAGCAAGTTGGAACAAGGCAATAAGTCTCTGTGCCTATAAAGGTAGAGTTGATAATGCAAGTATCACCACTAAGAGGATAACTAACTAGAAAGCCATCGTCACAGTCTGAGGGAGCCTCAAAATCCGGTTTCTCACTATTCATGTCTAAACTGATGTTAAAGTCAGCAATGTTTTGGCAAACATTTCCTCCCTCAGAAGCTGTGTGGGCTTGTGCACTGAGCCTTAGATACAATTCAACCATCGTCCCATTAGTCAAAGTTTCACATTCTTGGCACACTGATTTATCACTTTTGCTTTCATCTTTTATGCTGTTCATGGTTTCACTTTTCGCATTAGTATGGCTGTCGCATGTTCCACAGTCCTGAGTAATGTGTCGCTGAGCGCCGTCGATGTATATCATCATTGTGGAGACTCCCCCGAGTCTTATTTTGTGGAGCTTCACCTGAAACTTTGGACTGTTTGGAGCATGGTAGCACTTATAGCAAAGGTTCTTATCCACATCTTGCATATCATCTGAAAGTGCAGCAATGACACAATGAGTTGATTAGACATAGTAGCAGTAAGTAATAGTAATTTTTTTTTTTTGTAACAAGTCGGCTGTCTCCCACCTAGGCAGGGCAACGCAAAAAAGAAAGAAAATCCCTAAAAAGAAAATACTTTCATCATCATTCAACACTTTCACCTCATTCACACATAATCACTGTTTTTGCGAAGGTGTTCACAATACAACAGTTTAGAAGCATATACAGTAGACCCCCGGTTTACAATATTTCATTCCAGAAGTATGTTCAGGTGCCAGTACTGACCGAATTTGTTCCCATAAGGAATATTGTCAATTAGATTAGTCCATGTCAGACCCCCAAACATACATATACAAACGCACTTACATAAATACACTTACATAATTGGTCGCATTGGGAGCTGATCGTAAACCAGGGGTCCACTATACATACGTATAAAGATACACAACATATCCCTCCAAACTGCCAATATCCCAAACCCCACCTTTAAAGTGCAGGCTTTAAAGGAGTAATAATAGAATAAGTAGTAGTAATAGTATTAGTAACAGTAGCTAGCAACATTAGTATTAATAACTAGTTAGCAGTAATGGTAGCTATATAGTAGTCGTAGTAATAGTAGTAAGTAGTAGCAATAGTAGTAAGTAGTAATAATAGTAGTAGTTCATAGTAATAGTAGTAGTAACAGTAATAGTAGTAGTAGTAACAGTAGTTAGTAGTAACAGTAGTTAGTAGTAACAGTAGTTAGCAGTAACAGAAGTTAGCAGTAACAGTAGTAGTAGCTAGTAATAGTAGTAGTTAATAGTAATAATAGTAGTATTTTATTCATGGAGAAGTGCTACACCCATAGTGGTCAAACTGTACCTGGGGAGTGGTAAGCAATCAGGTTTGATCTGAGGAAGGGGAGGGGAGGGAAGGGAAGGGCAGTCCCAATACCTTAAATCAATTCCTTGAAGGGAATAAGTTTTTAAAACATTAAATTAATATTTAAATTATAAAAATTTTCACACATACGAGAGAGAAGGATATTAACTTTAATGAAGATAATGACTTGTACCACTGAAACTCAGTTCTCTCTGAAATTTCCCTTCTCTGAGAGGGTTATATAGGTTAATATATTTGTTAATGGTGCTATGATATCTCTATATATTCGACTTTTCAGAAGGAATAAAAAAATTCATACATTATTATTACTTTCATGGGGAAAAGGTAAACCCACGAGTCATACAGCACCTAGAAAGCAATCGGTATCGTTCTGAGGAGGGTCCTGTAATTACATATCCCAGAACCATTAATTAACAGGTAACCAAAAATCATTAGATGAAAAATCTTTGTTTCACATGAACACAAAAGCCTTCCCTGGTAAAAATAAAAAATAAAATAAATGAAAACAAAAGCACTAGACACTGAACGTGCTCATCTGTGTAGATGAGCACTAGACACTGAACGTGCTCATCTGTGTAGATGAGCACTAGACACTGAACATGCTCATCTGTGTAGATGAGCACTAGACACTGAACATGCTCATCTGTGTAGATGAGCACTAGACACTGAACGTGCTCATCTGTGTAGATGAGCACTAGACACTGAACGTGCTCATCTGTGTAGATGAGCACTAGACACTGAACATGCTCATCTGTGTAGATGAGCACTAGACATTAAATGTGCTCATGTAGATGAGCACTAGACACTGAATGTGCTCGTCTGTGTAGATGAGCACTAGAGAGCAAGTGAGAGGGGAGTTTACGGCGACATTTCGGTCTGACTTGGACCATTTACAAAGTCACACTGTGACTTTGTAAATGGTCAAAGTTGGACCAAAATGTCATCATTAACTCCTCTCTCCTATGTGTGTGTTATCTGTGTATTGTTCCAGTCATGGTATTGTCCTTTTTTTTGTTCTTCAGTTTCATATCATCATTGCAAGACTAATGACATGTAGTAATTATGTGCCATACCATATCACCTTCCTGTATATTGTTTCAATCATTCAGCTTGCTCATTATCATCTCACCAAGTTTGCAACTCAAAAAATGTGTAATTTATGGATTTTCAAACTAAAAAAAAGTGTGATTTGTGAATTTTTCCAACTACATTTTTAACAAATTGTAAATACAGTAACTGTAAAGCAATTAAATACTCACTGCTAAGAAAGTGAGGATACAGCTTAGGGATGATGCATTCTTCTGCTAATGCAGAAGACAAGATGACTAGCATGAGGGCCACCAACCCTATACACACACACAAGTGATGTGTTGCCTCCATCCTGGGCCACCTATTCCAGCAGCCCTTTATATTACACACTACATCACACCTGAAGAGAGAAACATACTATACATACACTATAATATTAACCTGTATGGAAAGACACACATGCAGTACAATGTGATCCTTTAATGATGTTATGCCCACACAGTAGGCTTTATCAAGTCACAAACTGATAAACCTTGAGGGGAAGGATGAGAACATATGTATAAAAGGAGAGTAGTGACGTGAAGAGTTAGGTTAGGTGTGATGAAGCAAAACCTTTAGTAAATTTAAAAAAACAGGTTGGGTAGCAGTGAGCCAGTGCTTACTGCTACCCATACTTGTGTACTATGAACTGTTGCCATGTGGAAAACCAATTTAGATGCTTCCTTGCAAGAGGCTCAGCTATTTTGCAGAGGCTGTTGTTCAGGTTGATATTACTGGATGTGATAATGAGTGATGATTCTATTAACCCCTATACTGGGAGCGACATGTATACAAAAAAATCGCAGGACTTTTATAAAATACTGTACCTGCAAGTTGCCTTTGTAGGTTTTCAAAAAACAAGGGCAAACATAAGTGCTGCATGCATGACTGTATATGCAACAGGGGTCCAAAGGTTATTCTACAGTTCTTCACATCATTAGAAAGGTCTTGTTAAGATTATGAGTTGCAGTTCTGGTCTCCATGCTACAGAATAGATATAAGTACATTAGAGAAAATACAGATAATATAAATGCTGTATAGAGAAGCTCTCATATGAAGACTGAGAGCTCTGAACCTGCAATCTTGAAAGATGTAGAATAAGGGGAGATAAGATCGAAATACAGGTGCTTCCTGACTTACAATGGGCTTACGTCCCAATGAACCCATCGTAAGGCGAAAATATGAGTAAAATATGAATATGATATGCTAAATAAGTAAATAACTACTATCACTAAGTAAATAAACAAAGAATTACTGTAATTAACTAAATACTGGTATTGAAGAGTAAATAAATGAATACAAGTTACGGTCTTGCTGCCTACATGCTGGGTAATTATATTAGGTTTCATCTCCAAAGTAACTGCTTTTGCACCATCGTAGAGTCAAAATACCATAAACTGAACTATCGCAAGTCGAGGAGCACCTTTACAGCAAGCTCTCTTATAAAACTCTACATCATGTGAATATTTTGCAGATGAAACTAAAAAAGGTATCCTACATGAATTTCATTTGCTATGAAGGCCTTCCTATGCACTATTCAATTTTGGATGTAGGTTTTCAAAAAATTGCACTGTATTACTGTATACAAAAAATTGCACTATATTACTGTATACAGGTGAAAAATGGGTAAAAAATAAAATATAAATAGGGTGCTGATGATATTAAATCAAGAAATTCAAAATAATGGATTCAATATGGACAAATTGGGCAGCAAAGTTGTCGATGAGAGGAACACTAAAGCCATTTGCACCATCAATCTGCCGGTAACACAATAAAGTCACTTGCACCACCTGTCTGGGGGATGACATATTAAGCCACCTGTAAAATATGTCTGCTGATGACCACAAAGCCACCTGCACTTGTATTAATTGTCTACTGGTGACACAACAAAACCGCTTGTACTGACTGTCTACTGGTGACACATCACAGCCAAGTGCACCACCTGTCTGTTGGTGACACAAATCCACCTGCACCATTTATTTGCTGGTGATGCAACAAAGCTACCTGCATCATCTGCCTACTGGTGACACAACAAAGACACCTGCACCTTCTATTTACTGGTGACATAACACAGCCACCTGCCTGCACCTATTTGCCATCCGTACCATCTGTCTATTGGTGACACAAAGCTACCTGTACCACATATATGCTGGTGACACAACAAAACCACCTGCACCATCTGCTTACTGGTGACACAAAGCCACCTGCACCATCTGTCTACTGGTGACACAAAGTCACCTGCACCATCTGTCTACTGGTGACACAGTCACCTGCACCATCTGTCTACTGGTGACACAGTCACCTTCACCATCTGTCTACTGGTGACACAAAGCCACCTGCACCATTTGTCTGCTAGTGACACAACAAAGCCACCTGCACCATCTACATGCTGGTGACACAACAAAACCACCTGCACCATTTGTCTACTGGTGACACAAAGCCACCTACACCATCTGTCTACTGGTAGCACAACAAAGTCATTTGCACCATCTGTCAACTGGTGACACAAAGCCACCTGCACCATCTGTCTAATGGTGATACAACAAAGCCACCTGCACCATCTGCCTACTGGTGACACAACAAAGCCACCTACACTATCTGTCTATTGGTGACACAACAAAGCAACCTGCACCATCTGCCTACTGGTGACATAAAACCACCTGCACATCTGTCTACTGGTGACACAACAAAGCCACCTGCACATCTGTACTGGTGACACAACAAAGCCACCTGCACCATCTGTCTACTGGCGACACAAAGCCACCTGCACATCTGTCTACTGGTGACACAACAAAGCCACCTGCACCATCTGTCTACTGGTGACACAACAAAGCCACCTGCAACTTCTATATGCTGGTGACAGAACAAAGCCACCTGCACATCTGTCTACTGGTAACACAACAAAGCCACCTGCACCATCTGTCTACTGGTAACACAACAAAGCCACCTGCACCATCTGTCTACTGGTAACACAACAAAGCCACCTACACTATCTGTCTACTGGTGACAACAAAGCCACCTGCACCATCTGTCTACTGGTAACACAACAAAGCCACCTGCACCATCTGTCTACTGGTAACACAACAAAGCCACCTGCACCATCTGTCTACTGGTAACACAACAAAGCCACCTGCACCATCTGTCTACTGGTAACACCTTACATCAATCACCACCCAAAAACATATATTTCTCAACTCCAAACACACATTTATAAACCACACATAAAGCAGAGATTATATATACCAACAATAAACACAATATACATACAATATACCAAAATAAGGACGACAAAAAGGAAGAAATAAGATCAATGGGAGTGGGTGGGAGGGCGTGAGGCAAGATGGTGTCCTCTCTCGCTTCTTTATCGCCTCAAATTACCTCTTCAGAGTCAAAATTAAGTTCCCAGATGCTGCCTCCATGCATGCAGAGTTCAAGAGTGTGAGTAATACCTGTAAAAATCGCCCAGTTGGTTGATTCTTCAAAATGATTCATAAAATTGATTATTCGCGTCACAGAGCTTAATTGTCTGAAGCGGTTTCTATATCCAGCTTACAAAATGGAGTTGAGTACATGTATTCTATAATTTTTTTCATATATTTTTCCGTCTTCGATAAGTAAACACTCAGCAAAATGCATTGTAAATTTTATTTTATAAAATAAAGGAAGAATTTTAACAATTATTTAGCATTTTTGTAGGGTTCTTAGTTTTGTAAGCCGTATATAACAACCATATTCTCACCATAGGGAGTGGTTTACTGAAATTTGTCAGAATGATTTGTTCAATTTCTTTAAAATTTGGAAATATTAATCGCCAATAAAGACTAAATAAGCAAATTCCTTGCCATTTGATGCAGATTTTATGTATTTATACTTAACATGAAAGTCGTCTTCATGATCAGGTTAGATTTAATGATGTATCTACTGAGTAATAATAATAAATGAGTGGCTAATATTTACGTTCATTATAGGGATGCACAACTGTTAGCTCAGTGTTTAGCTTTGTTTATTTAGCTTTCATCATCAGTAACTTCACCTGTCAGCTCAACTTCACACTTCACCTGTCAGGCTCAGCTAACAAATAAACCAAACAAACCTGATTTCTTTCTGCAGTATATAAAATGTAGTTTACATATAATAAAATATTGTTATGCACAAAAGAGTCATTAATATGCTGTGTAGTAAGTTAAATTTAACTTCAGTAAGTAAGTTTTATTGGGCGCGTTCACACTTGACTACAATTACACATATTTAAGGTAATTTCAATGGTCTTATGTAGTTACATCCGTAAATTACTTAAGATAACCAAATAAAGGTCAAAGTGACTTATATTACAACAGTAAATAATAATAATAATAATAATAATAATAATAATAATAATAATAATAATAATAATAATAATAATATTTTTTTAATTTTTATTATCACACTGGCCGATTCCCACCAAGGCAGGGTGGCCCGAAAAAGAAAAACTTTCACCATCATTCACTCCATCATTGTCTTGCCAGAAGGGTGCTTTACACTACAGTTTTTAAACTGCAACATTAACACCCCTCCTTCAGAGTGCAGGCACTGTACTTCCCATCTCCAGGACTCAAGTCCGGCCTGCCGGTTTCCCTGAATCCCTTCATAAATGTTACTTTGCTCACACTCCAACAGCACGTCAAGTATTAAAAACCATTTGTCTCCATTCACTCCTATCAAACACGCTCACGCATGCCTGCTGGAAGTCCAAGCCCCTCGCACACAAAACCTCCTTTACCCCCTCCCTCCAACCTTTCCTAGGCCGACCCCTACCCCGCCTTCCTTCCACTACAGACTGATACACTCTTGAAGTCATTCTGTTTCGCTCCATTCTCTCTACAAGTCCGAACCACCTCAACAACCCTTCCTCAGCCTTCTGGATAATAGTTTTGGTAATCCCGCACCTCCTCCTAACTTCCAAACTACGAATTCTCTGCATTATATTCACACCACACATTGCCCTCAGACATGACATCTCCACTGCCTCCAGCCTTCTCCTCGCTGCAACATTCATGAAGATGTGTGCGGGTGTGTGTGAGGGTGTGTGTGTGTGTGTGCATGTGTGTGTGTGTGTGTGTGTGTGCGTGTGTGGGTGTGTGTGTGCGTGTGTGGGTGTGTGTGGGTGTGTGTGTGTGTGTGTGTATGTGTGTGTGGGTGTGTGTGAGGGTGTGTGTGTGGGTGTGTGTGAGGGTGTGTGTGTGTGTGGGTGTTGGTGTGTGTGTGTGTGGGTGTGTGTGTGTTGGGTGTGCGTCCTTGTGTGTATGCATATATTTGTACGCTCGTGTGCACATGTCCATGCGTGCGCCCTCGTGTGTGTATGTGCGCGCGCGCGCTAGTGTGGGTGTATGATCCACTTAATATTTGTATTTATAACTCATTACAATTGTGACCAGGTGTGGACGTATCAGTGGTTCATTACTTTGTAATTTGTTCATGACTGTAACCATGTATAGGAGTGAAGCTGATTCATTACCTCTGTAACTTGCCATGATTAGTGACCAGATCTACCTGGAGTTCATTACCTTTGTAACTAGTTCAGCTGTCATAACTTTGGGGTCCAGTCACTGGACCCATTATGTACCTTTGTAATCTTTTGACTACCGCCCACAGGATGGGTATGGGGTGCATAAAGATATTAAACTAAAGTGTGTCTGTGTGTGTGTATGTGTGTGTGTGTGTGTGTGTGTGTGTGTGTGTGTGTGTGTGTGTGTGTGTGTGTGTGTGTGTGTGTGGTGTTTGTGACTCAACAATCAATATTTGCACCAATAACTCATTACAGTTGTGACCGGGTGTGGAAGTGTGAATTGCTCATTACTCTATAATTTGTTCATGATTGTAGCCAAAGTATAAACGTAAGTAACCATTCTACAGAATTCATTACCTTTGTAACTTGTGAGCTCATTACCTTTGTACCTAGTTCAGCTATCAAAACTTTGGGGGCCCAGTCCCTGGACCCATTACGTACCTCTGTAATCTGTAAATACCTTTGTAACTTGTCATGATTGTGACCAGACTTACCTGGAGTTCATTACCTTTGTAAATTGTGAGTTCATTACCTTTGTAAATTGTGAGTTCATTACCTTTGTAAATTGTGAGTTCATTACCTTTGTAAATTGTGAGTTCATTACCTCTAACTTGCTCAGCTATCAAAACTTTGGAGTCCAGTCCCTGGACCAATTATGTACCTCTGTAATCTTTTGACTACCGCCCACAGGATGGGTATGGGGTGCATAATAAACATATTAAACTAACAACCATGCTTCACACCCATATAAGAGCGTTGGTAAAACTATACTCTCATACATTCCCCTCTTTGCCTCCAAGGACAAAGTTCTTTGTCTCCACAGACTCCTAAGTGCACTACTCACTCTTTTTCCCTCATCAATTCTATGATTCACCTCATCTTTCATAGACCCATCCACTGACACGTCCACTCCCAAATATCTGAATACATTCACCTCCTCCATACTCTCTCCCTCCAATCTGATATTCAATCTTTCATCACCTAATCTTTTTGTTATCCTCATAACCTTACTCTTTCCTGTATTCACCTTTAATTTTCTTCTTTTGCACACCCTACCAAATTCATCCACCAATCTCTGCAACTTCTCTTCAGAATCTCCCAAGAGCACAGTGTCATCAGCAAAGAGCAGCTGTGACAACTCCCACTTTGTGTGTGATTCTTTATCTTTTAACTCCACGCCTCTTGCCAAGACCCTCGCATTTACTTCTCTTACAACCCCATCTATAAATATATTAAACAACCACGGTGACATCACACATCCTTGTCTAAGGCCTACTTTTACTGGGAAATAATTTCCCTCTTTCCTTCATACTCTAACTTGAGCCTCACTATCCTCGTAAAAACTCTTCACTGCTTTCAGTAACCTACCTCCTACACCATACACTTGCAACATCTGCCACATTGCCCCCCTATCCACCCTGTCATACACCTTTTCCAAATCCATAAATGCCACAAAGACCTCTTTAGCCTTATCTAAATACTGTTCACTTATATGTTTCACTGTAAACACCTGGTCCACACACCCCCTACCTTTCCTAAAGCCTCCTTGTTCATCTGCTATCCTATTTTCCGTCTTACTCTTAATTCTTTCAATTATAACTCTACCATACACTTTACCAGGTATACTCAACAGACTTATCCCCCTATAATTTTTGCACTCTCTTTTATCCCCTTTGCCTTTATACAAAGGAACTATGCATGCTCTCTGCCAATCCCTAGGTAATAATAATAATAATAATAATAATAATAATAATAATAATAATAATAATAATAATAATAATAATAATAATAATAATAATTATAATAATAATAACAATAATAATAATTATAATAATAATTAATAATAATAATAATAATTAACAATAATAATTAATAATAATAATGATAATAATTATAATAATAATAATAATAATTAATAATAATAATTATAATAATAATTAATAATAATAATTAATAATAATAATAATAATAATCTTTATTTCTACAAGTACATGCCCCTCAAGAGAGGTTCCTTGATGCTGGTGAGGGGCTCTTGATCTAGGGAACTGGATCTGTGCTCCAGTTCCCTGAAATGAGCCTAAATACCTTCCATCCCCCCCACAGGCGCTGTATAATCCTACGGGTTTAGCGCTCCCTTAAGAGTATAAGAGAATGTAATAATAATTCTTCTATAATTCTGAATTTTTTTTTTAATGTTAAGCGCTAAACCCATGTGTCCTTCAGCGCAAGACGCAGTGGAGGCTTGATCCTCCGTCTCCTGAACGCAAGACTTGCGTTATTCTTATTTAATAATAATAATCTTTATTTACTACCAGTACATGTACAAGGTATACAGACCATAGCTGACATATTACTATATAGAAAGTCACTTGTTATGCTGAGCATTTCCCGCAAATTAGGTCAGTTTTGTCCCAGGATGCGACCCACACCAGTCCACTAACACCCAGGTACCTATTATTACTGATGGGTGAACATAGACAACCAGTGTAGAGAAACAAACCCAATATTTCTACCCTCGCTGGGACTCTAACACAGACCCTCGGCGTGTGAAGTGAGAGCTCTAACGATCAGGCCACGAGGCACCGTGGCAGTCCACGAGGCACCGTGGCACTCCTCTTCCTTCAAGTTAACATTCAGTTTGGTCAGATGTTTTTTCCTGGCGATGACTGCACTTGTGGTGTTATAAAGTAATTGTGTTGGCTCACTGATGTCTGTTGTCACTGCGACTTGCATGTACAAATGAGCATCACAATGCTCCTCTTGTCTGCCGGGGTCCCTCAAGGGAGGATCCTGGACGCCTCTGTGTTAAAGGAATGCACCAGCGCTCCAGTACCCTGAACCAAGCCTAAATATCTTCCATTTCCATCCCCCCCCCCTCATCAGGCGTTGTCTGACCCTACGGATTTAGCGCTTCTCTCATGAATGTAATAATAATAATAATTGCGAAAAAGATTTAGGAGTTCTGGTTAGCAGT